ACCCAGGAGGCGGAGGTTGCGGTGAGCCGAGATCGCGCCATTGCACTCCAGCCTGGGTAACATGAGTGAAACTCCGTCTCAAAAAAAAAGAAAAAAAAAAAAAGAGTTTAACCATTTGTAAACTCATGAGTCATGCAGATCGTCATTTACCAAATGTACTAAGCTCAAAGAGGTGAGTACATTTTGAAGGAGTCTCTTAATATCTGGTGCCACATACCATCTAGGAAATTTTTACATGAGGTTTATGAGTGAGTGTGTTGCTAACCAAAAAAATAGGGGTGGGGGAAGGCATGTGTTTGGGTTACATGGACACTGTGTGGCTTCGTCAGCATGGAGCGGGGAGGTCACAGGGCAGCATGGGGGTCCTGGCAGGACATGCAGGCATGACTGCACTGCAGCTGGAGTGAATCTAGGATCTGGAAAAGCTGGCCATTTCAATGCACCCACGTGGTTCTCATTTGCTAAACTATGCAACAACATGACTACTCTTCTCCTTGCAGAACCCAGATAGTTCCCTTTCAGTGATGGGCATGGAATTAAAACAACTATCTCAGATTCAATCAGTCAAAACAATCCTCTCCCCACCCCCAAGCTTTCCCCGTCCTGAAGGCTTCCCATTATCACACTGCTCCTCTCAGCCACCCAGCCAGAACCTGGGAGACATCCCCTCCATCACTATGTCCCCCCAGAAATTCCTGTGTTGAAGTTCTAACCTCCAGTACCTCAAAATGTAACCATATTTGGAGACAGGTCCTTTAAAGAGGTAATCAAGTTAAAATCAGTAGGCCCTTCCTAGTCCAAGAAAGACGCCCTTCCTGTGTCTTTATAAAAAGATAAGATTTGAGCGCACGCGCGCGCGGACGGACACACACACACACACACACACACACACACACACACACGGAAGGCCATATGGAGACATAGGGAGAGGAAGAAACTACCCCTGTTAAACCGTGAGCTGAGACTTCCAGCCTCCAGAATGAATTTCTGTTGTTCGGGCCACCCAGTCTGTGGCGCTTTGTTATAGCAGCCACAGCAGTTAACATACTTCTCTCTTTCCTTGGACATTATTTTCCTTCAGGTACCTGCTTCTCACCTTGGTGATCTCTCACTTACCTTTCTCCTCATGCTGGGTCCCTCTGATCAACCTTCCGTGAGGTCCCCAAATCCAATCCATTATGCCACCATTCACCCCGCCCTGGAGGCTCCATGACCTTCAGAATCAAGTCCAGCCTCCTCAGCATGGCCTACCAAGCCCCTCAGGATCTGATCATTTCCCTCTGTCCCCACTCCTAGTCACATCTGGCCTCCAGCTGTACAGTTTGTAAATAAGTCTATCTATAAAAAATGTGCACAAGAACGTCACAGCAGCTTTATTCCTAACAGCCCCAAACTAGAAACAACCTAAGTGTCATCAGCTGGTGAATATATACACAAATTGTGATACATTCATACAACGCGGTGATACAAAGGAACAGCTCCTGATAACCACACAGTATAAACAAATCTCAGGTTATGCTGAAAGAAGCCAAACAGTAGAGTCCATTCTATATGATTTATGGTAATGTCCAAAAGAATCAAAACTAATCTATAGTGATAAATATCGGATGAATGGCTGCCTGAGGGTAGGGGTGGAGAGAGGGAGATTTTTTTTGTACAGGGGTGCAGAGAACTTTCTAGAAAGATGAAAACTTTTTTTTACTTTTAGCACACACCACCTTTGGAAGAAAATGTTCTTTATCTTGATTGGGATAGTGGCTACAAGAGGATATGCACATATCAAAAGGTAATGACCTGCACACTTATAATGTATGAATGTCATTGTATTATACCTTAATAAAACTGAGTTTTAAAAATTATTTCAGGAAATACCATTTTCCACTATGTTCTGGTTTTTCCTTGTGATGTTATTTTCTATAAATATGAACATTCATTCAATAGGATTTCCATGCAGAAGAATCTGCATGAAGAAAAGTGTAATTATACAATATCCACTTTCTTTTAAACTAATGGTGTGGTTTTCTTAGAGAAGAATGTCATTCTACAGACTTACACTGACCATCAGCCGGCTAAAGGCCCAGATCGCTATAAGCTTTCAAGTCTCCGATGTGTCTCTCTGAACTTCTGCTGGATGAACCATCCTCCATTCTGATGCCTTCCCCCACCCAACCTCCAACTCCAATCCTTGCTGGAGGAACCAGCGGCATTACCACTAGCTTTCGGTAATTCAGTACCAAGTCTTCCTGTACCTTAAAATGAACCTACTGTAACTAATAATATTCCTCAGAAAACTAGAGAACAAATCATCATTTTTGAGCTGGAAAGAATCTTGGAAGTGATCTAGTTTCACATTATAATTAGGAGTGAAATCTGAGACCTATATCAAGGTTTTAGAACTGGTTAGTACAATACTAGGATTAAATCCCAGGATAGCCCCAATCCCATCCCAAGATCTGGAGATTTATGCATGTGAAAAATACTTGATTTGTTCAGAACTGAAGTTTATGCATTGAAATGAAGATTTCCTCACCTTGAGTCCTTTATGAGCCAGAGCTCGTCTATAGCACGCTTTCACGTTCCCATCATCTAGGTGAAGTGCCTGATCACAGTCCTGCTTTGCCGCTTCAAACTGGCACAGCTTCAAGTAACAGAGAGCTCTGGCATAATGCAACAGAACTCAGTATTATGAAAGGTAAAGATAGGATATCTATAAGTTTAGACAGCTAAGAAAAATCAGAAAATAGCCCAATAAGTCTGTTTCTATACCACAGTGGTTTCTATTATAACATTTGATTCAATTATGGCACTGGGGATACAGCCGCAAACAAAATACAGTCACAGCCCTCAAGGAGGATGCAGTCAAGTGGAAGAGACGACTATTAAAACAAGCGAACACAATCAAATCTGTGCAAAGTACTCTGGGAGCACATGCTGATAACTACATCAGATTCAGTGGGGCTGAGACAAGGGGCAGAGCAGGCAGGGAAGACTTCCTAGAACAAGTGACATTTAAGTTGAAATACAGAGTATGAAGTTAAGAATTATCTAATGCAAACACAGTAGGTTGAGAGAGTTCAGACAGAGGTAGGGGAGAGTGGAGGCCAAGGACACAGCAAGTGCACAGACCTACAGTACAGGAGAATATGGTGTTCTTGAAGAACTAAGAAGAGTTCCATATGGCTAGAATGCAAGAATGAGGCTGGAAGAGCAGGCAGGCCAGATCACGAAGGGCCTTGTAAGTCATGGCAACGAGGCTGAGCTTTATAAACTGAGCTTAATGCAAGTCCGATGAAGGGTTTTTAATAGGGGCTGACATGTTTGCCATGTTTTCGACAGTCCCTCTGGCTACAGCTTGGAGAATGAGAGAAGAGGGAACAAAGCTGTGCAAGGACACTATGAGGGTGCTGCAGACATTTAGGAGGAGATGACAGTGGCCCAGAGCAAGGGAATGATGGGGGGTGGTGGCAGGGAGACAGAAAGGGTCATGCTGAAGATGGATTTGGGATTTAGGAGGTAGAAACATCCAAGCTTGCTGACTAGAAGAGAGAGGTCAGGGACGATGTCCAGCCCTGAGTGCGGAAGAGACAGGGAGCACTTCAGTCTGGAGCTCAGAAGACAAGAGATTTGGGAGACATCATTGTAAGGCGGTACGTGGAGCTGGGGAGAGGATGAAATGGCCTCTAGAGTAGGGAGGAAGGAAAAGGGACCTAGAGCCTCATAACTAAGAGAATTCTATGGAAAGAAAAGCCTACAGAAGGAAAGGGAGAGGATGAGAACCAGGCAATGAACTGCCTGCCTCCTCCTCCTCCTCTGCAGCCAAGAGGAGGAGGCTTCACAGAAAACTGAATGGCCAATAGTGCCCGATCCTGCAGAGGCTGAACAGGAGAAGGGCAGGAAAACGTTTGTTGGATTTAGTGACATCTTTTGTCTAATATTATATCACCATATTCTATATAGGTATCCTTTTTGTTTTTTGAGATGGAGTTTCACTCTTGTTACCCAGGCTGGAGTGCAATGGCACAATCTCGGCTCACCACAACCTCTGCCTCCCAGGTTCAAGTGATTCTCCTTGCCTTAGCCTCCTGAGTAGCTGGGATTACAGGCATGCACCTCCATGCCCGGCTAATTTTGCATTTTTAGTAAAGAAGGGATTTCTCCATGTTGGTCAGGCTGGTCTCGAACTCCCGACCTCAGGTGATCTGCCCGCCTCAGCCTCCCAAAGTACTGGGATTATAGGCATGGGCAATCATGCCCGGCCTATATAGGTATGTTTTACCACGTGGTAAAGATGGTAACTGAGCAACAATCTGCCCATTCCTGCTACACACTATAAAAGATGCTGGAGCCTTCCTGCAGCACTTCAGAAGGAAAAGGGCAGTCTCCATAAGACACTATTTTGAAAGGCCACTGATTCCTGCTCCTCCCACGCTGGACAATGCCCAGACCCAGCTAACTGCAGTGAGGCCAGCCAGCCAGGAAATGCCGAATCAGAGCCGCACAATCCAAAGCAACCACAGTCGCCTTTGGGGACCTGGTAGCACAGACTGTCAGACCTCTCATCCCACCCACACCTCAGGCTTCCAGTCTCTCTAGAACTCCCACGGCCTCACCTCTTTCAGAGACACTTGGTTAGGACAGCTTGCTATAGAAATTCCTAGAACCATCACAAAAAACTTTGGCAATTACTTAATATTCTTTAAAATATTTTTAATAATCAAAACTATTAACATAAGAAATATATAAAGTTACAAAGAACTTGCCTGTTTGTATATATGGCACATTCCTTATTGTTAATTTTTAAGCATTCGCTGTATTTACTGAGGGCGTCTTCATAGTTTTTGTCATTTACACATTGATTTCCTTCTTCCTTAAGGGCTTTAAATGTTTTTTCATCTATAGGATAAAAAAAAAAAAGGAATTATTTGTACAAGCACCTCTACAAAATCTTAAGTGCAGTTATGAGTAAATCTTCTATTGCAAATTTGATCACAAAGCATGCAGAGCTAAAATCTAAATGGAACAAAATTTTGTAGACAATTAAAATGACAGGCTATAGGTAAAAATAATTATATAATTATGATACTATTATTTTCTAACTAGAAAATATGATACAAGAAATAATTCTGTCATTTGATCAATATTGGCATACCTTTTCTCTACTGGAATTCTAGAGACAGTAACAGAGGCCAGAACTGCCTTAGAGATGGTAGAATCAAGCAAACAATGCTACCAGGGCTCAGGTGACTATATGACAAGAGGCAGAGTCTCCAATAAGGCTGCACATGTGAATTTGCAAACTTCACAGTGTTTTCTGTCATCTTGATCTATGCTGCCTCACGCAGCGCTTTTACAATGGTACAGGAGCACTTCAGACCTTTGCTTAAGCTTGGATGCAACAGAATCAGTCAATGAAATCGGATACAAATATCCATAGTGTTCTGCTCAGCAACTATTTTGTGAATAGTGAACATGCCTCTTGAAGTCTGAAGTGGACATCTATCCAGCACCCCAAATTTCCTTGGGAAATCACATCTCTTCCATTCTCTGCTCCTTTGGTTTAAGTGAAGCAAACCTTACTCCAGCCCTAACCTTTGAGATAATCATTTGATTAATCAGAACATCATGGTCCTATGGTCACAATAATCCAATTGGTCAAAGATGAGTCTATGAGAGCTGATCAAATGTTCTTGAAAGATTCTTATAAAGTAATTCTTGCTGTTTCCCATGGGATTTAAGGCTCAAAGGAGGAGCAATTTTGCTATCCTGTGATAAAACAGGATGGTGTGAGAATGGAGCCAACAGAGAAAGGAAAAGGCCAAGATGGAGAGCTGGAGTCTCTGAGTCCTGAATCCAGCCATCCCTGCAGCTCCTCCACCTGTGGCCTTGTCCATAATAAGTGGCCATAAACAGTTTTTTGCTTACTTGAGACATTTCAAGCTGGGCTCTCTGTTATCTGCAATCAGAGTCTGAACTGTTCATTACCAGAATTACAGACTATCCCTATTATTTTGCAGTGAACATGGCTGACAACCTGCTCAGAATCTATTTCCGGGACCTCAATATTCATTCAGCTATCACCCCTCTCCTATTCAGACCACGTGTTCAGGGGAGGCTGACCTCACTGATCAGAACCCCAGGTCTAAGCCAATCAGTGCATGGGGCATTTCCTCATCAAAGAGACTGACTCAGGGATAGGCACATGGCCCAATTCAGTTGAATAGAATAACAGAATTAAAAATCTGGGCTTTAGGGCAATGTTCTTCCTCATTCTTAAATTAATGCCACCAAAAGCAATGGTTTCTCTCTCTCTCTCTGAACACTGATGCAGATGTAAAGACTAAAACTGCTACAGTTCTATTGTTTCCTGCTACAGCCTAGGCCTTGATGAGCTGTGCCTGATTTACAGCCTGTCTGGGCCCTTTCAGTGACATGAGCTAAAACTGTCCCTTATACTTTACATAAACAGATTTTCTGTTACTTACAACCAAAATTTTCAAACATACACAAAATATTAAAATTTAAAGTTTGAAACCTAGATAGTAAGTTTATCCTATGGAATAATTTGATATGTAATAAAAATAATAATAAATTAAAATTTAAAATATACCTTTAAATTTTGCAATCTTAAAATCTTCTGATAATAATAATAATTATTATTATTTTTTTGAGACAGGGTCTGGCTCTGTTGCCCAGGCTAGAGTGCAGTGGCATGGTCTCGGCTCACTGCAACCTCCGCCTCCTGAGCTTAAGCCATTCTCTCACCTCAGCCTCCCAAGTAGCTGGGACCATGCCCAACTAATTTTTGTATTTTTAGTAGAGATGGGTTTTGCCATGTTGCCCAGGCTGGTCTCAAACTCCTGAGCTCAGATGATCTGCCTGCCTCAGCCTCCCAAAGTGCTGGGATTTTAGGCGTGAGCCACTGCACCCAACCAGTTTTTTTTTTTTTTTTTTTCGGTAGAGATGGGGGTCTCGCTTTATTGCGCAGGCTGGTCTTGAACTGTTGGCCTTAAGTGATCCTCTTGCCATGGCCTCCCAAGGTACTGAGATTACTTCCAAGAGGCACCATGCCCAGCCCACTAAATTTATAATATAAACTCAGAATGTAAAAAATAATCTTATTTGTCCCTCTGGCAAATTGTATAAAATATTAGTTTACTTTTCATCTTTTATTTCAAATCACAGAATATTTCATGTTTCAAAAGATCTCACACAGGCTAGGCTACTCACACCTATTAACCCCAGCGCTTTCAGAGATCGAGGCAGAAGGATTACTTGAGCCCAGGAATTCAAGGCTAGCCTGGGCAACATAATGAGATCCCATCTCTATTAAAAAAAAAAAAAAAAAACTAGCCAGGCATGGTGGCGCACACTTGTAGTTCCAGCTACTCAGGAGGGAGGATTGCCTGACCCCAAGAGGTCTAGGCTGCAGTGAGCCAAGGTTGCATCACTGCACCCCAGTCTGGGCAACAAAACAAGATCCCATCTCAAAACAAAACAAAATAAAACAAAACAAAACAAAAAAACCAAAACCCTTTTACATGTATACTCATAGGACACAGGAGGTATGTAACAATTTCTTAAGACCATATAGTATTAAAGAGGGAAAACATAATTTCAGCACTTTGGGAGGCCAAGGCAGGCAGATCATTTGAGGTCAGGAGTTTGAGACCAGCCTGGCCAACATGGTGAATCCCTGTCTCTACTTAAAAAAAAGAAAAAAAAAAAAAAACAAGAAAATTAGCCAGGTGTGGTGGTACGTGCCTGTAATCCCAGTGACTCAAGAGGCTGAGGCAGGAGAATTGCTTGAACCCAGGAAGCAGAGGCTGCCTGCAGTGAGCCAAGATCGCACCACTGCACTCCAGCCTGGGCAACAGAGCAAGACCCTGTCTCAAAATAATAATAATAAAAATAAAAAAATAAAAGATGGAGAACAGGGACTTCATTTAAAGCTAGGACTGATTCTAGAATTCATGCTCTTATCTCTGCTTTACTGTGAAAGTACACACACAGCTCAAGGTAACCTTCAGAAGAAATGAGTGTAGGTGTCCCCCACCTGTGATGGCCTGCTGGCGATGGCTGCTGGAATTTCCTGCTTGGTTCGAGATCATCTCTGTTGCCAGATGCCAAGCTTGCAGTGGCACAGAAGCAGGCACAGCAGGAATGGGTGACAGCTTCTCCCGCCAATTTGGTCCATCTAGCTCCATTAAAATTCTTGATAGTCTAAAGAGAAAATGAATTTTTTGTTTATCATTTAGTTTACTTTTTATACTACTGAAGGTCAGATTAAGAGTAAAATTTACAAATGCTATGCAAATGCATACTTCCTTGTAGAAAACATGCAATCCTGAGCTATTTTCTGTTCACGTAAACTGTTTTCAAAGAGTTTTACAAGTTGCCATAAATGATGCAACTTAGACTATTTTTAATCAAAACAAAAAAATTAAGACATTTTTAATTTGTTAAAAAAATTTAATGTATACATAAAATGTTCTTTTTGAGAAATTTAAATACATTAATAAAACTAAAATTTAGGAGGCCTAAAAGAAATGTCTCCTGTAACATTTAATATCATTACCAAATTGATAATGTATTACTCTTGAGAATGATCAGAAGTATTTTGAATTTCTATGCCCAAACTGTACATTATGATAACCACATTACCAACCACTGTGGTTGGCAACAGATGTACAAGACTGGCTGCCAACACTGCAAAGGGCTCGCTGTCATGTGAAGAATGCTTTTTCTCAAAACATTTACGTGTGGTTAAGATACTCTTTCTTGCTCTGTATTTTTTTCATCTCTATAATTATCAGTTTATTCTTTTTTTTTTTTTTT